CGTCCCCGAGGCTCTCCTGCAACCCCAGTGTCTGGAAGGCCCGTCCCTGAGGCTCTCCTGCTGGGTTCCCTCATTCTTACCTGTCTCTTTGATGAGTTCCAAGCACCCTTTGGGTGTGCACGGAATGAAGCAGTCATTCAGATCACCTCTGGAAAGCTTCCCAGCATTGATGCTCGTCAACCTAAATATGGAGTCAGTCAAATAAGGAGGGAGGAACGGAGCCTCTGTCCTCTAGAAACAAACGTGCTGTGCTTCCAACACAGAAGCGTGCTCTAAATAAGGCCAGTGGGTAGACTCACCCATCCACATCCTTCTCGGGGGCAATGGCATTGATGACGGCCTCAGTGCTAATGGCGCTCTCTGAATCCAAAGGCAGCTGCACTATGAATCCATGCACAGAGGCGTCCTCGTTCAGGGAGATGACGCATTTTAACACCTAGAAGTAGTGGCGCAGTTGATTTGTACTAACTAATCAAGACATTAAAGGGGGAAGCGAAGGCTGTAAAGAAGTATCTTCCGTCTGCAAAGCATATCTCGGCCCCTAAAGTCCCACCAAAGCAAGCAGACAGGGCGGCACCTCGCCACGTACATCCATGCGCTCACCTCCGACTCTGTGGACGTTCTTGGTAATTTAATGTGAGTAGCTTTGATCCCAATCTGCAGAAATGAACACAAGAAACAGGAAATGGTATGAGAGCCTGAGACCTGGGCCTGTGGGATGGTTTGTATATGCTCAGCCCAGGGAGTGGCACTGTTAGGAGGTGTGGCCTTGTTGGAGTGGGTGTGGCCTTGTTAGAGTAGGTGTGTCACTGTGGGTGTAGCTGTAAGACCCTCATCCTAGCTGCCTGGAAGTTAGTATTCTGCTAGCAGCCTTCAGATGAAGATGTAGAACTCTCAGCTCCTCCTGCACCATGCCTGCCTGGACACTGCCATGCTCCCGCCTTGATGATAATGGACTGAACCTCTGAACCTGTAAGCCAGCCCCAATTAAATGTTGCTCTTATAAGAGTTGCCTTGGTCATAGTGTCTGTTCACAGCAGTAAAACCCTAACTAAGACAGACTGCCTCTCTGAAGGACTGTGACTGAGACAATGGAGTACTGGGCATCATTTTGCCCTGTATGTGGAGAAGAATCATTTGTCACCATCACATTCAACGCCATTCCACAGCCTCTCATCTGACTCTCAGGAAAGAAAACCATGACTAAGAAGCACACAGGGGAAAACCAGCCGGCTAGCTCACCTGATTCTGCCTCGCCCAATAGTTAAATTAGGGTCTGTTGGTGGCAGTTAGTTTTGTGGGGAGGGCCACACAGGGCAAGGGGTTACCAACAGGACCTGGGGTAGTGGTGAGGAAGGATGCCAGCATTGCTGTTCTTGGCTTTACCTCTTCAGCAGCCTTCAGTTTCACAGTTATATAAAGATTGGAATCATCTCTGTCGCCGACCTGGAATAATAAATACATGCAAATCAGACACTTAGGGAAAGGCAAAGTGTACAAAAAACTTCTGCAATTTTAGTCTGGATAAAACGAATGTTTGAGAACTTTTATGGAAGACAAAGGAGGCTGGGGAAGGGGAAGGCTGGGGTGAAGACAGGTGGCTTTACTCTGTACCCTCAAACTTCGTTCATACAATCCACTGACAGTGGCCAAAGAAAGAGCGTGAGCTGGAAGCAATGCCATGAACCTGTCATTTCAAGGTACTCGGAAGGCTGAAGCAAAGAGTTGGTTAAGGCCACCAGATAATGGCCAGCCTGGAGCACACGGATAACCCTTGCTAACAACAACAAAAGGGCATGCAGGTGCGACTACTGTACCGTGCTGCACTGTAAGCAAGGGGAGAGTGCTCTAGGCTTCCAGAAATGTGGGATTACTTAGAACAGGATGAGTAGTTGAAGTTGAGAAATTATCATCAGTCAGAAAGACACCAGAGAGGCAGAAGTATCCGGAAGCATCAATCATCCAGGGGCAATGGAAAATGCTCACAGTCAGCCAGACTGAAATGAAACCAGTAAGACAGGATACTGGGCTAGCTTATACAGAACAGACACCACGGGGAGGGCAAGCCGGTGCCCACCTGACAGATGTCAGTGTGGGAGCCTTTGTGACCTTTGAACCCTAACCCCATTATACTGTAAACATTTTTCATCGTGACCGTGCTTGCAATTCTTCATAGCATTAAGTTATCTGTAAAAATTTACTTCAGAAAAATTTCTCCATGATCAGGTCATGATCTCTTTGTAAGCTTTGCTTCTCTTCATTCTGTAGAGGGCAAAGCATCCTACTCTCAGGATAGGGCCCAGGGTGACAGAGGATGGCCTTCATAACAGCATTTCCAGAACTTTCTGAGGGCACAGTCTGATGCTACCCTGGGATCTCAGAATACGGTGCGAGTCCCAGCTCTGGATGTTCCATAGTCATTTGGTTCTTAGCTTTGCTGACTAATTTGGACTTCAAAGGGACTAGGAGAGTCCTACAGAGGAACTTGAACCTTGGAGATCTAGCTTTGTTTTTTGGTCCTGCCTCCTGCATGCTGAGCCTGCAGTACATCCCCAGTTCTAAGCCTCTCGTGGAGGACCTGGTTATATAATCAATGACAGACTAGATGCAAGAATGTTTAAAGAACATTAAATTCTTGACTGGCAGTCAAGTGGGTGGGTGGAAGACTGGTTCTCCAGAACACATCTTAATCCCAATGATTTATCAAGAATGTTACTTAAGCATTTCATCTGAGTGCTAATCCCTTCCTACAAAGGGGTGGTGCCTCAGACCATCAGAAAACCCCAACAAGACAAAAATAAGCCAGATGCATAATCCCAGCCTTTAGAAGGGTGAGGCAGGAGGGAGACCAATAGGAGTTTGAGATTAACCTGGGTCTTATGTAGCCCAAAATAGCCTAAAATCGTTTATGACCCTCCTACCTGTGTCTCCCACATGCTGGGATGACAAATCCTGGTTCAAGGCCTTTGCAAGCACTTTTTATAACAGGAAAGACAGAGTGTATACCACTCTGGACAACTTCACCAAGGCCAGCTCTAAAACCATTTCCAAAATTTACAGCTACTCCCAGCTTCTGGAAAGAGACTGTATTAACCAAGTCTCCCATCAGGAATTCACTGATTACCTTGTGAAAAC